CGCACATGTCAACAGAAACGCTTGAAGCACCCATTGGCAGGGTTCATTTGGAACATGAGGCCATTTCAATGCACTGTTTAACTGGAATGTTTCAGCAGAACTTTAGTTTGAGGATCAGTTCTCTCTATTTACCAGTATATTAATGGCGTGCATTCAAGTAGCAAACAGACTGTTTATCAGTTTTCTCAATGCATACTCTATATGTCCTACCATGCATTACTCAACCCCATACTTGCGCTCAACCTACACTCACTGTTGTGTTCAGTTCACTTTACAAATTATGTTGACTAAACAAATTATGTTGACTTAATTGTGGATGTTTCTGTATGTAAGTTTTTGACTCTTCTAAAGCATAAAAGTACCATAATATGTTTGCAGATATTTAAGAAACATGCTAAGTGTACATTCTTGTTTATTTACAAAAACAATGCTGAAGTCAGATATTCTGCTTTCAAAAATGTGAGTTCCATGCCAGCTGTCTTTGTTTTAGTTCTTTTAACCCGCCCACTGTTTAGCCAATAAGATTTCAGCACTCTGGTTTGCCTTGGTGGAAAACCGCATATTTGATTCATTCAGTCAGGAAGGCTCTCAAAATATGCGTCCGCAACTGAAATGCGATCTTTGGTGGACAGTAACAGCCTCCGAAATGAGATGCAGATTTAGAGTTTCACAAGATGTGTTTATTAATTAGCAAACATTATAAATATTAAGAATGTAAACATTAAGTGAGCAGGTTACATTGTAACCCTGTGTCTTAACAAAAGGCTACATGATGAGATTTGCAGTGATAAAATATTTGGCTGTTTGCACCAGATTAAACACAACGTAAATTTAAATACAGCCATTCAGAAGCACAGAATAGTGCACTTACTGCACTCCAACAAAAATGTAAGGTTTATAATCTAACTAATGCATTTTTAACCCTAAATGTTTTAAATGTACATATAATCACTGACATGTTGGCTTGCACTGAGTCACAGATCTAAAGTTCAGTTTTGAACGGTTTATTTAATTGTTTAGATCCGAGGTGAACTATCTGCTACTGCTTTCAGTAGTATGGCAATAAATGTCATTAAAAATGCCATTCAAACTTACATTATTAGCATTTAGCACTGAATAAAGCACATGAGGTGTACCTGAGGTGAACATTGTCAGTTTATCCTGTTGTTCAGCTGCAAAAATCTAGTGTATATAAGTGTTGGTTAGAACAAAGACTTATTTTAATATGCAAAATATTCCTTTTATTGCGTGGCATTGCTTTTATTTAGAACACATTTAAATCAGCCTTTAGGCTCAAGAGTCAGGCACACTCCTGTTGATGATGTCAATCTGGCAACCTTGTGTTTGTTTTGAACCAGAAGTGCAATACCTACTTCAACCACTGGGTGTCAAATGTACATACTGCATAGTTTTGATCAATAAATAAATATTAATGTTCACATTCTTATTTAGAGCCATACTATGAATTATAAGTTCATCCTAAAATAAAACAAAATGAAAATTCATTTACTAACATTTCCAAAATTTTTCTTTTTACAGATTCAGACAAAAAAAAAAAAAGATATTTTGAAGAATGTTACCATTTATTGTTGATCTTTATTTACTTCCAGAGTTTATATTTATACATTTTCATTTTTGGTTGAACTATTCTGACCAAGGGCATCACGGTGGTGAGTGGGTAGCACGATCAACTCACAGCATGAAGGTCGCTGGTTCAAGCCCTGGCTGTGTTAGTTCACATTTCTGCGTGGAGTTTGCATGCTCTTTATGTGTTGCCATGGATTTTCTCTGGGTGCTCCGCTTTTTCCCCACAGTCCAAAGTCACATGCATTGTAGATTAAATAGACTAAGCTAAATTGGCCGTAGTGTATGATTGTGAATGAGTGTGTATGGGTGTTTACCAGTGTTGAGTTGCAGCTGGAAGGGCATCTGCTGCGTAAAACATATGCTGGATAAGTTGGCGGTTCATTCCGCTGCGGTGACCCCTGATTAATAAAGGGACTAAGCTGAAAATAAAATGAATGAATGATATTTCGACAAAAAATCTTGCATAAAGAAAAAAGCTATCCTCTTTTCCCTCCTCCCAGACAGGGATCTCTTATCTATCCATACTAGTCATAGCTATTGTTGTCATGGAAACAAACCCTGACTGTATAAGGCCTGTACATTTCCGACATGCAGATGTGTGCAGTGGTCCAAGAGCAGTAGGGCATCATTGAAATATTAAAGTTGACATTTCTTGCAGACAAACACAATGTCCAGCCTATTTCCCACTGGATTTATGGTGCAGTTAATGTGGTAAGTAGCGTTGACTGCAGGGTGGAGAGGGGGGTGTATGAATTCACTGCAACATAGAGCAATGGACTGTTGATTCATTCCCCATGTCTGTGGGTTGCACACTTGATCAATACTAATCCCCTCATCCGTCACAGGTCACATCCAGTTGTACATCTCTCACTGTCAGCACATGAGTGCACATGAAGTGACTCTCAGGACACTGCTTAACAGTCATTTGGGATGAGCTGATGAATGCATTTCAGTTCTCTATAACTCAGCAAATGTTATTTATTACTTATTCCTTTTTAGTAACTAGAATTTTTACTTGTATTTTCACTTTAGTTTAGTGGGTTTTTTTTACATCTTTATTTTAAACATTATTGTACATTTATTTTAAATTTACACCCCACAAAATTTGCAATCCTATGTTTGTTACTGTTGGAGTATGTTTACATTTACTCTGCATTTCTCTCAATGTATATATTTTGACTAAGGCATAGTCCATTTATTCATCAGGCCTGTAAGATTTGGGGAAATATCTATCTAAATATTAGAAATATGAATTTTTTGGACATATTGTGATTTTGATTTGTGATTTAATTTTATAGTCAAGCTTCAGCTCAATAATCTGCACCGTAGCTTCTTACTGCTAAAATGCAGTGAGTGTTAGTTAAAAAAGGAACTGAGCTATGGCTAGTATGGATATTTACTTGCTTAAACAGTTGCTTAAATTTGTTTTAAATATTCAGAAATGAAACACTCATTTTTCTCTAGAGCAAACAGTAAGCGCAAATAAAATGATCTTACCTTTCTGTAAACAAGTTGAACTGATATTAGAGAGATAGTGTAGCTTATAATGAAAACAAACAAAAACATTATAAAAATACAGAAAACTCAGCAAACTAACATGGCTGAATAGACTGAAATTGTACTTTGCTGTTGCTTGCTACTAGATTGAGTGTCAATGGCAATACTTTAGTTTACTTTTTAGCAAGACACTCCTCATATAGCCGTTTGTGGTGCTTTTTAGGTGCTTGTTGTTGTATTTCCTTAGGCTGTGGCAACAATTCTGCGAAAGCTCTTACAAATTACCTGTTTTTTTCATGGTCTGTGACTTCGAAAATAAAATATTTCAATATTACTGATGTCCTTGCTTTCTTTGATATTAATTATTCTATTATTGCTGAAGTGGCAAATGACATCATCCCACATTTATATATATATATATAAATGTATCTGTGTTTAAATCAGAATTTATTTCAACTATTTTTCATCATTTGATGCTTATGTAACACCAAATGCATAATATTACTGCTACAAATGTGATATAACCTGTTCTTTGCAGCTCGGTGAACTGTATGGTTTTGTTCAGGCAGCTAAAATTGGTTCAGATTCTTGGTAATTTCTAAGACAAACAGCAACACTAAACCAATATAAAAATGTCTAAGAAGTGTGATTTAAGTGTGATTAAATTAATACTTTTGTGAATGTGCAGCATCGCTTTTCTTACACCATACCTAAAATCATAAAAACCTATGACATAACCTGTTTTACATACAGCTCAGTGAACTGTTTGGCTTTGTTTAATCTGCTACAATCTGATTTTAAACTAAATCTGTCTACTTGTTATTTCACACGGAGTAAAATTTTTTTATGATAGCATTAACAGACCACATTGTAAAATTTCTGGCCAAATATCTCTTTGGTCATTCTAAAAACCCGTAGTCAAAGTTTGTCATCAAAATGGTTTGATAATATTACCTCTTGAGCATCTGCGCTTCAAAAGAGCATCTCATGCCTTCAAAAGCCATTGTGCACTCATTGCATTCATTCCTCATTCTTCATCTTTTGAGGTGCAAAGAACATATTTTAGGAAAAAGGCTAACAGTTGATTCTCCAACCGGAGCTAATTATTATTGATTTATTTATTTATTTTTTAATATTTAGCACCATTGACATTTTTTTTGTTTTCTTATCGGATGTAAATTAGATGCAAGTCCTTTACTTGCAAATCTACATGCAATATTCTAGGTTTAGTTTAATTTGCATCTTTGGATGGAAACATAGCTATCCTGCAGGCACAGGCCTTTAACATTACATCATATTGACATTGTACGGCAAAGTACCCCAACGTTGTGAGGACGATTTTGTTTGGAAATGAAAATAGGATTGACAGAACCCAACGTCAGGCCGACGTTAATGTCCAATGCAAAACCTAAAATAAACCAAATATCAACGTCTAATCATGTTACACCTTGACGTTGTGTGGATGTTACCACTATGACATCTATCAGTGGATTTTGGTCACATTTCAACACAACCAAAAATCAACCAAATATCAACGTAATTTGACGTTGCTATGGGACGTCATTATAACGTTGTCCATAATAGCTGACTAGACATTGAATTTTAGTCACCTGACATCATGATCTAAAAGTAACCTAATATAAATGTCTTATGATGTTGTGTGCCAGCTGGGTACTGTCTGAACAAACTGAGTCAATTTCATCACTTTCCAAATTGGTTCAGGTGCAATGTAAACACACACACACAGTCCAAATATATACTTATCCATATTTCCCACCATAAATTAGCTCTAGTAATGAATGACGCCTCCTCCAAGCCTACCCTCCTCTCATCCCCTGCCTCTCAATGCCAGTCTTTGTCCAAGAATGAGAATGAGCCATTCTGTCTCTCACAGATGACCCCTCTTGTCTCCACAGCCGCCTGCTGAGGACGTGACTGCCCACGTGGTCTGGATGCCAGCAGCTGCCTCTTGGAGCCCCTGACGGCCCCTGGCAATCCGAGAAACACATCCTCATCCTCCGTTTCCACGCTCCCGACCCCCCCGCCCCAGTCCCGGAGGATTATCGAGTCTCAGGATTACTGAAGTGTCCACTTTGGCCGCGGGAGAAAGGGCACACTATTACTTGTGAGTATCCTCAGCTGCTCCGAGCCTCCATTCTGCCTGTGAAATTACACTCATTATGGGCTTTTGTGCTTACTTGGTGGAAAAGAAAATGCAGGGAAGACTTTATTAGAGCGAATGAAATGCTTCATTAAACATTATTGGCCATTACTTTAATTATTGGCATAACAGAATGAAATGAATGAAAACAGATCTTTCTTGCCTTGAGTTCTTCTATCCGAGACTAAATTGAAAGCGTGAACAAACTGGGGCATTGCCAGAGATGCCATGCTACTGTTTTGGCCACAAATCGCCTCGAGCAGGACTCTGGCATGTTCGGGAATCAGTTAGTGTTTATGTGCGAGTGCATACAGTTTGCCACCCTACCACAATAATAAATAATTGAAGCGAATGTATGACCTGGTTTGTGTGGCGTTTCAGCATTCGCTAGAGATGCCAGTTCTCTGAGGATTTCCAGTGTTATGGGGGGGTGTGAGAATGGGATTAGAAAGCTTGATGGATTCAGTGGCAGATTGCACATCATTTGACTTCTGCAATCCGCGAGGACTGGGCTGCGTGCTGCTGGTGTGAAATACTGTACCAGGCATGCTATTACCTGAGAGTGTCTGTCTGTGAGTCTAGGGGCGGAATAAAACAAGCAAGGTGAAAGTCGCACATGATTTGGAATTCAGAATGATTTCATGCAGACTGAGATGAGAATCAGTGCTTGGGGATGTGCTACATGGATGGATTTCCGTTATGTTGATGTGGGCTGTCTGATTTAGAAATACACTGATGATGAAACCAGCACACATAGTGCACTTGATGATTGGATGAAAGAAAAATAAAAGGACTACTAAGAAACACAAATACCACAGGTCTTTATATGAAAGGGAAAAGCTGTTTGTATTTGCTAGTGTATTCCCTTTTTGGAACATATTTCTGTTAATAGAGGAAGATAAAATAACATGAATTCCAAATGGATGATTTTTGCTTTCTTAAATGGACAGCCCTGCTGAAAATTTAAGATCTAAAAATGCTCCCATTAAGTTCTATAACATTTTACGAACATTAAAATTTGTCTAGCTTTTTAAATGATGTATTAACAATTTTTGGTTATAATGTTATATTAAAAATATTCATAACGTTTCAGGTTATTCACCTTATTTTTAGCGTACAAGTGGGTGCAGCCATTTGAATGTTTTTGGCACAAGACCTCTGGGGCCTCATGTATCAACGCTGCATATGCACAAAAACTTTCCGTACGCCAGATTTCATGCTAATGTTTGGATTTACTAACAATGAAATGAACGGGAGAATGTGCGTTGTTCCACACCAACTTCATGCCTGGCCTACTTGCATTTTTTGTGTGTGTTTGTTTTATTTCCATTGGCGACTCCTAGAGGCAATTGTGTTAAATTGCACACTACAAAGTATCTTTGAGCCGTGCAATGGCAGCTGTATGGGACGGGATCATCCGTATCTCTAGCTGGTATATAAGGTTTCCATACCATGCAGTTGACAAGCCAAACATTAAAGCGAAATTTGCAGCGATTACCTGTTTTCCCAATGTAATCGGAGGGATCGACTGCACGCACATTGCTATAAAGGCGCCATCTGAAGACGAATTTGCATACGTGAATCAGAAACATTCCATTCAATAAATGTCTAAATAATATGTGATGCTCAAATGCGCTTAACATAATACACACACTTATTAATGATTCCTACTTTTCTTCCTCCTGATGAAGAGTAGGCAAAATCTGATATGTAGTGTGGGAAAGAAGAATGAGATTATCAGACGCTGGATTCGAACCGAGTTCATGATCGAACGCGTCAAAACATTATGCCATGCGCTTTACGAGCTACGCCACTCACGTTACTCTCTTTAGTTATGTTGCCTCTATCAATCAACAGTGATGGCTGGGAATCACTCAACTAGCTTATTCCAACGAGGTGTGCCTTTTGCACTTAGCCTAAATAAACACTACAAAATTTTAAACCTTTTCATCGGACCATTTCTTTTTTAATTAACTCACAGTGCGATGTTCAGACCCAACTGCGTTAACCGAGCCAGGTAAACTCTCCCCACTCTATTTTTTTTCTTTTGTTATTAATTCTAGAGGACAAACTTGCAAAAAAAAAAACGTTTTTCTCCGGCCTACCTCCGATAGGTGCAACTCCAATACACATTCTGTTCAAAGTTTCTGTTTTTGCTTGCTTTTGCCATTGCTTTTTCATTTGGTTTTCCCAAAGTAGAGTCATAACCATATTATTAGGGGAGGAGGCAGGGAGGGGTTTTGCGCTCATGCACTCAGTTTCACTATAAGTCGGATGTACAAAAAGAATATGCGTGGGATTCGGCGTACGCAGTGTTTCATACATCTGATTTTTTTTTTACTGCGTACACACATTTACAGCTTTGTGTGTACGCAATGTTTTAGTGTGTTTTAATGTTTGTTGCAAACTGATATTTTCTAATTATATTATTCTGCTTTGTCTGTATAGCCATGAACATACTTATTTGTAGAGCAAGTAGTTTGACCATTTTCTGCAGTTTAGTATTCCTATTCTTTCTAAAAAAAAAAACGAGCGCACTTCCGCATTGAAGAGGGTTAATATCAATGTTCCCTGAACGTTATTTTTAAATGTTATTAGAACATTCCATCCACATATTATTTTTCTAAGAAGTTTTTCTATCAAAGTTAATATAAAATTTTTATGTTCATTCTTTTGTAAATGTTCACAATGTTCTGATAATATTCTGTATTAGCTGGGGTTTACCCAAAATAAATGTATCCTGTTAATTTTTATCACCCTCCAACTATCCAAGATTTTAGCTAAATTGTGGTCTTTGACAATTTATTAATAAATACAGTTAAAGTCAAAATTATTAGCCCCTCTGAATTACTAGCCACCGTTTATTTTGTCCCTAATTTCTGTTTAACGGAGAGAAGATTTTTTCAACACATTTCTAAACATAATAGTTTAAATATCTAATTTCAACTGATTTACTTTATCTTTGCCATGTGTCTAGATATTTTTTCAAGACACTTCTATACAGCTTAAAGTGACATTCAAAGGCTTAACTATGTTAATTTAGGTTAACTAGGCAGTATAGGGTAATTAGGCATGTTATTGTATATTGATGTTTGTTCTGTAGAATATCGAAAAATAAAAATTTGCTGAAAGGAGCTAATAATTTTGACCCTAAAATGGTATTTATTCTATGCTTCATGCTTTTATTCTAGCAGAAATATAAGAAAAAGACTTTATAACAAATATAACAAAAAAATTTAAAGGGAGGGCTAATAATTCTGACTTCAAATGTATAGTAAAAGAACACTTGAAACGCAAAAACAACACAATCCTAAACTCAAAGTAAATCACACTAAAAGGAAGGCAAGCTAATCACCAGGTCTCCGCTCAATCCGGGGGTCCAGCAATCATGTATCTCCCAATCTGCTAGTGTGTGTCTCCTCAGTCTCTGTACACTGTTAAATGAGTGCTAGAGGAGTCTGGCAGCGTAAGACAAGGCAATACAATGGTTGCCGCAAACACACCAACATACAGAGCTGCACAAACACGGTCTGAAAGCACCAGGAGGTAGTGGATGTGATGAATTGAATGGAAAGACTTGTCCTTTCCAGCACAGCAGTGTTTGAGTGGCACATCCTGCTCCTGCAGAGAGAAAGCGGCTCAAGAGAGACTGGACTGATCAGCACTTCTCTGAGTTAATTAACACCAGAGGTCCAGCAGCTGTTGTACCTTCCTATACCTTTGCACTCAGTGCCACCCAAACACATCTTATATACGCCATGCCACTTAAACATGCTTGCTAGCACATAAACAGTACATATAGTGACTATGAAAGAAGACATTTGTCATGTATACAGTAATAGGTAAGAGATATATTTTGACAGAAATTGCTTTAAAATGCTTTGCTAATCAAAGTCAACGTGTAACTGCAATTATGCTCATGTATACATTTTAGATGTAAGGATTGTTTGTCGAGTTGCACTAAATGCATTAAATTATTGTTATAAAACACATTGAAAGGTTTTATTATAGTCTTAATATATCTATTAGAAACTACCAACACTGCTAATGAAAATGATTCCAATAATCGGTTAGTTAAAAAGTAGTCAAATATGCCATGTTTTTTTTTTTTTTATTCAACAAGTATTCACTTTTTTTTGACAGCCCTCTAAAAATTAGACATCTAAAAATTGTCCAAAAAAAAAAAAAAAGCTTATCATCAAATAGACAGGAATGTTATTTGTAATTAATGTAATTATTTACAATGTCAGTTCATTTTTGGGATATTATGCAGGGTATCTGAAGGTTCTAAGAGTTATATTTAAGGCTTTTTTTAATAACACAAAGATTGAAAAAGATCAATTTTAAGTATCAAATAAAAAAAAAAGCATGCAAATCAAATAATTACCATCCTCAACACTTTTTATTGTATATTATGTTGCTGTTGTAACCGACTGGCTGATATTGGCCAGATGACTGGCTGTTCACCTGTCGTGCCAAAAATCATCCAATCCCAGTCTGTTCTTTGTTGACACAGTGGTCATAAGCTATTATAGTGCAAAATTCCTGCAAACTCTCCTCGCTTAAGTGAAATCCCAGCAAACACTGCTTACATAAACTCAAAATTAAGAATATGAAATAAAAAATAGCATTTGTAAAATCTTTAAAATGCAGATTTGAGACATTTTAAAACTAAATAAGGCCTTATTTGTTTACTATGGAATTAAAGACTTTTTAAGGATCTGCAAATACCCAGATTGTTAGAAAGAAACAGGTTCAAATGTACACTACCTGACAAAAGCCTTGCCGCTATCTGTTTTAGGAACAACAAATAACTTGACTTCTACTTGATCATTTAATATCAGAAGTGGCATATACACTATGAAAAGAAAAAGCCTCCAGATAACGCTTATTTTACCAAAGTAAAATTTGATCATGCTTGATTTTCAATTATTTCATTAAGACAGCAAGATCTGACTTTGCTT